TGGGCTCACACAGTGCCATCGGCCGTCAGCACCTGGAGCGGGTGCGCACTCCCCCTTTGCCTCTCACGTCATTGACACTGTCGAAGCATTTAGGTCCCTGACTTTTTCTTCAAGTCAAGAGTTAACATACTTCCAGGACCATACAGCTAGTTAGGAAAGAGCCAAGACCAGAAGTAGGACATTGGAAACAGAGCAGATATATTTCAAATTCAACTACTAATTTGGATGATTAAGTGCAGGCATCATTTGCCTTTCCTAAGCATTTATTGAGTTCTCTGCAACGGCACGGTCACTGTGAAATGTGAGATGCCTTGAAATGTATGGGAGGCAGTTACTCACCTGTACAGCCAGTGTTTGTTAGACTGACAAGGCTTGATGCACACACCCGCAGTTAGCAAGGGAAAAAGGCCTTTAGCTTTGTTTTCATGAGAAAAATACAACTTTTTGGTGGCTACCTTTCCTAGCTCAGCAAAACCAACTGCCATGTATTCCAACAATGTGATTCTTTTAAAAATCATCTGAACTCCAGTGATGGAAAGCATGGAGATGGGAAACAGAACCGAAAACGTGGAAAAGGCTGGCCGAGCTTTGCAATCGCAGACCCAGTAATGGTGTATCTACTTGGACAGACTAAAGGCCAGCGGGTGGAGCAGAACAGTGCCAGGAATCTAGGCCAGCAGCCTGTTGGCTTTCCCTGTGAGAGGGGAAACTGCACGTGGCCTGTAAGGTAAATGGATGTACAGGCCTTGGTGTATCCATGTATTTGCCTGAGCACACAATGCACACCTGGTAGGGGCCAGATTACAAGGGTAGATGTATTTCTTTCTTTTCCCCATTCTTCCTTTAGTAAAAGAGGAAAACTCGAAACTGTGAGATTAGACCACTCTTTAGTGAGCACACTGAAGCCCACAGACAGAGGTCCTGAAAAATGTCACTGCAGCCCTGTCACCGGCTGTCCTCGGGATCACGGGGGCTGCTCTCTCCTGAGCCCCCGTCCACTTGTTGGGGCTCCTGCCTTTCCATCCTCCTGCAGAGAATGTTCAGGCAGCACAGGGTCCCCGCTCCCCCCTTGTCTGCTCTTCCTCTCCGGTGGCCTCCTCCGCTTGTCCCCAGCAGAGAACCCGGCGGGCCCCGCAGCACTCTCCCTGGTGTGGCTCTCCCAGCGCTGTTCATGGGAGCCCCCTGCCGCGGGGGAGGGGCGGTGGCGGAGAAGCAGCTGTTGCCCCTGCGGTAGTGATGGTGGCGCAGCGGCCCCCCAGATCCACCGGGGTAAGTTCCAAGCCCCCAGTAGCTGCCCTGAAACCATGGCTGGTACTGAATCCTATATATCCTGTTTTTCTCCTGCACACACATATTTATGATAAAGTTTAATTATAAATTAGGCCCTAGCTGGTGTGGCTCAGCGGATTGAGCGCCAGCCTGCGAACCAAAGGGTCACCAGTTCGATTCCCAGTCAGGGCGCAGGCCTGGGTTGCAGGCCAGGTTGCCAGCAGGGGGTGTGCATAATGCAACCACACATTGATATGTCTCTCCTTCTCTTTCTCCCTCTCTTCTCCTCTCTAAAAATAAATAAATAAAATCTTAAAAAAAAATCAGCACAGCTGAAAGGGGGAAGGGCCTTCTAGGCTGAGTACAGAATAACGTACGCCACTGCCTAATGACCCAGCAGAGCAGAATGGCAAGTAAGCCTTGTGAATGTTGTTGCCTTTTGATCTTTGGAGAACATGAGTTTGAATCACACAAGTCCACTTATCCACAGATTTTTTTTCAATACATACTTTAAATGTATTTTGTCTTTCTTATAAGTTTCTTAATATTTTCATTAAGTATATAAAACATATACCATATAAAAAGGGTAAAAGTTACATGCAGATTTTCAGTTGTGTGGAGGGTCAGCTGCCCCCACCCCCGCAGTGTTCAAGGGTCAAGCCTATGCATGATGGAGTGAGAAAGGCCTTTGCAGCGCACCATGGAGGCTAGCTGCAAAGGAAGCGGTGGGTACACGTGGTTCCAGAAACATTTCAGAAAGTGATTTGCCAAAAAAACATAATGTTAAAAGAATCTGTGTAATGATATTTAACATGGTTTTAAAATAATGTTATTGTCCTTAATACATAAACAGCATTTATGAGTCAATGGAAATAGTAAAAATGTCAACAGTGAAATAGAGACCATGAAAAAGCAGTTCACAAAAGTTTAAATCAAAATAACCAAATTTAAAAATATATATGTGTATATATACACATATATATATTCACTTCACAAGAAATAAAAATGTAAATATAGACCATGCAGTGTTTTAGGGTGAGAAAGCAGGTACTCTTTTACACAGTGTTCTTTGTAATGATATGAAAATTTGGAAGCAATGTAAATGTCCATCGATAAGGGATTAAATGTATTAGTAAATTATGAAATCTATAAATGGATTTCTGTGCAACTTTTGCATAGGATGGTATATAATAGTGGTTGGCAAACTATGGCTCACAGGCCAAATCTAGCCCACTAACTGTTCTTGTTAATAAACTTCCGTTGGCACACAGCCACGGCCATTGATTGATTGTCTACGGCTGCTTTCGCGCTATGGTAGCAGAGTTGAGTAGTTGCAACAGAGACCAAATAGCCCAGAGGCCTGACATACTTACTGTCTGTTCCTCTGTTCCATTATAAAACACCTTCTGACCGCTGATGTGCAGACTATATTCAGTGACATGGAAAGCTCTCTATCATGTACTATTGAGTGAGAAAAACAGGGTACAGAAGTCACATGAGTAGTGTGGTCCCTGTTATATAAAATCAGGTGGTAGTGGGGTGTATGATCCCTGTTTTATAAAATGTGGTAATGGGGAAGGGGGAAAAAAGCACCTTAAAGATTTTTTTTGGTGGGGGGAAGATGTCTTCAACTAGATTCAGCAGAATGTACCTGGGAGTTGTGAAATTCTAGGTTAATTTTTCTTGCCCTCTTTATATTTTTCTGTAATTCCTAAGTTTTTTTAAAAAAAATTTGCAAAGTAAAATGGGTAAGTGGCTATTTGTTACGCAGAGTTCAGAGTCCACATACTTGTCTTTTGGAAAGATAAAGAACTGGTAACTCAAAGAGGAAATGGGGCTACTGAGCAGGCGCAGGGAGCTGTCAGCGCTGCCGATAAAGAAGCTGGAACTGTTCTGCTTTTTAAGTTAGATTCTAAGTCCACTTGGTCCTGGTTGGGGGTTCACTGAAACTCTTCTTTCATGAATTGCTGGTGGTCTTATAAAATGTTACAGTTTCTAAAAACTTTATGGCAGTCTTAATAGCTTTTAATATACACCTTGAATTTGTGTACTTTTAATGCACACCTTGAAACAGTAATCTCACATTTAAAAATACACACTTCTAAAGAAATAATCTTCACTTTGGCAAAGACTCTATATACACCAGTATGTTCAAACAGTGTGAAATGTTTCTGATCTACAGCTAAATGAAATTGAACATAAAACCCCGCAGGCGCGACTTTTCCTACAGTGGCAGAAGTCTCTGCAGGACAATCCCCAGTGCTGAGGAGGGTGAGGAAGAGCCGGCATTCTTGTGCATTGCTGGTGGGGTGCCACACTGCCACCCTGCCACCCTGGAGAACAGGTTTCAGTTTCTTGGGAAGTTAAATGTAACACCCAGCATTTCGACACTGTGTATTTACCCTGGAGAAATGAAAACTCAGGTTCACACAGAAACCTGGACGTGCACATTTGCCGCAGTTCTATTCATAACTGTGGAAACCCAGAAACAACACAAACGCTCTTCAGTGGGTGAATGGATAAACAAACTGTGGTATGTCCAAAATAATGGAAAACCACTCAGTATCAAAAAGAGCATGCTACTGATGCCCACAACAGCTTAGATGAATCTCAGAGGCACTGTGCAGAGTGAAAGAAGGCAATTTCAAAGCTGATATATTGTGTGTTCCATTTATATGGCCTCTTGCAAAGATAAAATTAAAGGGATGGAGGACGGATAAGTGCTTGCCAATTGTTAGGCATGGGGGGCGTGGCTACACAGGGACACGCCCCCCTGCACCGGCATTGAAGGGGCAATGGAATTGTTCTGTGTCCTAATTGCACAGATCTATGCATATATTATAAATCATAGAACTGCATACCAAAGAATAGTCAATTTTACTATATGCTCACTTAAAAAATGAAATGAAAATAAATATGTATAGGATAAAACTAAAAGAGCATACACAAAAATTACAATGCTGCTTGTTTAAAATGATGGTATTACAGGCAACTTCCTTTCTTTATTTTCTCAAGTTTATCTGAATAGATAATTTTGTAATTAGAATAAAATACTTACAAACGAGTCTACCCAAGAACTCTAAAATCGTAGTAGTGCTTGAGGTTCGGGAAGGAAGCAGGCAGCGCCTCATGCTGCAGTAGCATCTTCGGGGGTAGTGTATGCAGGGCCGCAGATGGCAGTTCACACTGGGTCCAGGAGTTGGTGTATGAGATTACTAGAGCATGCGGTTCACTTTAGGAAGTGGGAGTGATAACAAGAGTTTTGCTTCTTTAAAAGCCTCTTTTATCTGGAAAACTTACTTTTGTGGAATTCCCCCTTCGCTTTTGATGCCAAATAAATGAGACGGTGTCAGAAGGCAACGATCCCCCCACGTAAACAGGCATTATCTTATCTGTTGTACAAACCTGGGACGGTGAGTAGGGTGCTCTTCTGTTTGCAAAGAGGGAACCGAGGTGCAGGATGATTGGAGTGCAGGCTGTGTGGCTGTAAAAATTCCATTTGCTTTAACGTTTCTCCCAGGAGGCAGACTGTACTTTTGTGTGTGTGTGTGGCTTGCCAGTAATGATATCAAAGTTAATATTATCATATTGTTTTCTATTGAGAATTTCCTGGACATCATTAGAAGTGAAACAAATGGTGTATGCCTTGTGAGAAAAGTATCTGTTTCCTCAGTGAGCGTTCACAAGTACTTGGGCTATAATGAAATGCTCTCATCTGTTTGTTTTTTCAGGATTTTATATTGCACGCTGATTATACCTCTGCACTACCTCGAGCCTTTCTTTTCATACATCTTCCTCAACCTGCAGCTCATGGTTCTGCAAGTCCTTCACCTCTACTGGGGCTACTTCATCCTGAAGATGCTCAAGAGATGTATATTCACGAAGGTAAGGGCTGTCCGAGTCTTACTACTCTGAACAAGTAGACTTCAGTGCCAGATCGAAGGTGAGGCCGTGGATAGACAGTGGAACATTCTAGTTAATTTGTGGTTAACCACAATTCTTTTATTATTGATTTGATCATTATTAATAGTTTATTTAAAAATCTAGCTAGATTTTTCATTAAGTAGGTCTCTAAAGTGCTTTTAAGAAATTGCTTTTATTAGAAGACAAGTTATTTTTAAAAGAGTTTTATCTAAATATTGGTTGCCGCTTAAAAAAATGTCCTAATGAGTCTCAGTTTGCTCTAGTTTGGGACAAGCTTTATGGTGATAGTTGAACAATATTTTAGAGCCTTACGTTTACCTTTGCTGAGCATCTAATTTGCACATTATGTTCTCCCCTGGGTTTTCGCCTACTCTCTGAAATATTGGACATCATTTGACTACACATTTTCTGAAAACATCTTTTTTCCTAAATAAGAAACTGATAATACATTTTAGACAATAGATGGGTTTTTTGTTTATTTGTTTTGTTTTGAATTCAGTTCTAAATTTTAATTTCAGAATGGGGAAGGGGGCTTCGGAAATGAGCAAGACACAATCACTGCCTTTGGGAGAACAGCCCAGCATCTAGTGGGAGAGTATTTACGTACTTGCAACTACCTGCATTGTTCAGAATGTCCTGTGCTAGAGAGAGGTCCCAGAGACTTGCTGTGGAAGACAAACGAGAAATTGACTGAAGGGGTTAAGGAAAGTTTCATTGAACAGAAAGAACTTGACTTGGGCCTTTAAGGCAAGTTAGAAAAAAACCAGATCACAGCTCTCTCTTTGTGTGGAAGTCATCCATCTAAGGATCTGAAGGACCTTTCAAGGAGAAAGTTACAGCCGGCCCCTTCTCAGGGGTTACCATCTATGTGTAACATAGCGTTGTATCACCCCCGGAATGTGTGACTTGTGGGTAATGGATATGTTGGTAGTCTGTCTGATGAATTCACTTTTGATCACCTCTCTGACTAGTCTCTCCCTACTGTATGTAGTAAACGTGTCTCTGATTATTGAGGAGTTGACAGTGAAATGGACGTTGCAATAGGTGAGCCTCTACTGTGCCTTAAATTTCTACAGCTAGACAGAAAATTGGGCCACGTCTCAAACCAAGTCCTGAAAGCCAGGTTTGTTTGTGTGTTTTTTAACAAAATTACTGACCAGAGCCTGTTTTCCTGAGTAGACTGTCTCCATTAGGGTTGGAGTGCCAAGAAAATTTTTCATTGACTGATTCTAGTTTATTAATATTCTCAATAGCTTTTCTGTGATCTCTGCCAAAGTTATTTTGTCTCCGAGTGACTGATAAAGTTGAAGTAACTGAGATAAGCCTAGGAATTGGAGCCCTTAGACAACTGCACATCCAGGGGCTGGAGGAAAGGAAGGACGTGGGACTGAACCTGCCTTAACTCGGGCCAAGCCTCCCTGGAGCTCCTTTCCCTGGGCAGAGACTGTTTGCTTATTAACTGGTCGGTGACAGCAATCCCAGGCCTGGGAGGGAGCCAGGCAGAACAAAACTTGGAAACCAGAGGACACTCTTGTTTGGTTTCATCATGATTTTCATACGTCTGATCTCTAATGGGCGGTACCAGGCCTAATTAAAAACCCAGCGGGTTGGGGAGCTGTGGACAGGAAGTCCTGATTTCTCCTGCTGTACGTTGGGAAAGCTGTTTCCAATTGCAGGCTGACAGCAGCCGCGGAGGCCCCCTCGGCCCTAATCGTCGCAGTTCCTATGACTTCAGCTGGCTTGCATGTGCACTCTGTTTTCCATAGCAGTGGCAAAACTGGCTGTGAAATCCGCGTATGCCTCCAAAGCCATAAAGCCGCCTCTTAAAGAATGCTATTTCAAGGCATAGTTGCACTGCAAAGGGGCGGAGGGAGCTGGAGGCGGGAGATGAAATTCTTAGAGGAACAACTAACAAGTAAGATTTCAACGCTGTTTAATAAATACTTAGCATTTAACATACACCTCACTTGTTACTAAGGTGACTAATTCTTGGGTATTTAATAAATAGAATTGCAGAAGTTTGTAGGCTTCCAAAAATTTATTTTAAATCTTATCACAGAGATTGAGAATTTGTCCCTTTAAGTTTCTTCTTCCTGGTAGGCCATTAGTAAGTAATTTTGAATATGCAAATGAATTAATAATTAGAGGCAGCAAACCACACTGTTTTGGGTGGAAAGTTACAAAATAATTTATTGCTCTTTTTACAGTCTCCATGAGTTTGCATGGTAGAATGGAAAAGACAAAAATGATTATACTTTTTTTATTATTCGTATTGACACTACTATGTGATTTTTGAAATAGTCACATCTTATTTTTCCTAAACAGTGGGGTCCTTGCACTCATATGATGAATGAGGACCTACCATTTGCTCCTGTTGTTGAATATGTTAAAATAACAATATCACTATAACTTTGGGACACTAAAATATATAGACCATGGTTAGCAGGCATCTTGCTGCTGGAGAACAAGACTTGGCACTGAAATCTAACTGGTTCCTGTAACATGGTGATTTTTTAGGGAACTACCAGCCCACACATCACATCGGGAAGTATGACGAGCTGATGTGTTCACCTTGGCCATTTCTTTACAAACATGAGAAGTGCTTTCAGAGGAAATTAGAAGGGGCATAGCATGCTTTTGTTAATATTACCTAAGAGAACTGGACCATCCGTGAGCTTTTATTTTCTCCTCTGTAAATGTCATGCTGGTTGCTGGCCAACTCAAGCATGTCTCTGTGACATCTGAGACTGGCGCGTGGCCAAGGCGGGGAGGGAGGGGCCACAAACCCAGGATGGAGAAACTAGCCCCTTGGCAACCTGCCCCCACCATCTGCTCGACAGGAAGTGCCTCTGAAGTTCACAAAATGACACTTTACATACGCTGAACTGTTCTAGTTAAAGAAAGGAACACTTTAATAAGCGTGAGGAAACTGAGGCCTCCAGTAAATTCACCCAGTCATTTCATGGCAAAGCCAAGACTAGTACCTGAGTCTCTTAACTTGCAATACTTCTTCTTTTCTAATCATTTTTTACTCAAACAAGTATTCTTTATTTGAAATGACCAGAAAATTAATTTAAAATATTTGTATGGAGTAAAATACAGCGAATGCATAAACAAATCGAATTATCAAGATCAAGAATGCAGCAACAAATGCTTTAACTTATTTTTGGACTTTTTAAAAGCATAAGAAGATGTTTCATAATTATTTCTTTAATTCCCAAGTAGCTTCCTAGCAACCAATCGGGGTAACAGCTAAGAGCACAGGTTCTGCGTGCACTCAGCTCTCAGCTCTCCCATTTAGTGGCGGTGCTGTCTGCTCACTGCCTGCGCTTCCTCGCCTGTGAAACGAGGCTGGTGCTATGAGTACCTGCCTTATCAGATAAAGCCCTCGTATCTGGCACCCAGTGAGCACATGACCAGTGTTCACTGCCATTATCATTATCATTATTACTATTTACTCAGGTTCTTTGTGCCAAATTGCAGAGAGCCTGTGAATTCCAAGTAGCCGACAGTTGGCTCCCAGTCAAGCTCTCTCCTCCTCTCGCTCTGATAATGCTGCAGCTGATGGCAGGTGCCAAGGGCCCCAGTGACAGTTTGCTCAGGTCTCTTCTGCCCGTGGACTTTCATGACTCACACTCTGGATGACACTCTCTCTCAGATGTCAGTGTGTTTGGGAAGAAATACCAAATTCATAACATTCAAGAAGCCCCCAGCTTTCTGTTGTTAGTAGGTAATTGTGGATGTAAAACCTGCCCTTTACTGAAGAAGAAAAACCTCACAAAAATACCACAAAGACTGATGATTGAAATAGAGTACTATAAAGATGCTACCGCCTTATAGTTCCAGATTTGTGAATACAGATTAACTAGCCCAACAATCTATTCAAAAAACAACAGTGGAACTTGTAAACTTGTAGTGATTTTAAAAACTGCACAAAACTGCTTGGCTTAAAAGGTTTCAAAAATGGATATTCTTCCCCACTACACATTCAGCTCAGAGACAAAATAAAGAATCCTAAAGAATTTTAGAACTGGAAGAGGCCACTAAACGTCTACCCCGGCCGCTCTCCTCGAGGCCCAATGATCGCACTGCCACTCACTCCCACATCAAAGTGTGGTCTCTCTGACGGAGGAAGAAAGTGAAGGTGAACGGAGTTACATGACTTGGCGCAAGCTCAACGCGGGAGTGGGAAGTCACATCCCCGAAGCCTGAGACTTGAGGGCCCACGTGGCTGATGCTGTCATCCTCCGTCCCCCGGTAGTTCTGCGTCGTGAACACGTGTCCTCCAAACAGGAGCAATTCGTATGTCACGTGCATGTGTTTCTGTGTGTGTGTGTGTGTGTGTGTGTGTGTTGTGTGTGGCTTACCTTCAGTCCTCATGCACTTCATCCTCATACCATTGACTTTGCTCAGTTCTTTTTATCATCACCGTACAAATGATCAATGAGTGCGTTCCAGCTCTTCACAAAGAGGGCTCTCTTTAGAGAGTCCCACCAAGGGTAGTCAGTCCCGTTAGGGGATTTTTTGGCTTAAAGCAACTGTAAACCTGGGCTCTCATTTACCTGCAAGGGCAAAGTTGTCTGAGTCAAAGGAGGACAGGCAGCCACCCGCAGGGCTCTAAGACAGGGATAGGGGGAAGGAGTCACGGGCGGGGAGCAGGGCCCACGCGTGCGCGGGCCTCTTCCAGCTCCCTGCACCCCCCGGAATTCCTGTTGCATTCCCGTGGACTGGGAGGCCTCCGAAATCAACGCCCAGGCACGACGAGGGCCCCCGAGATGAGTGCTCCTGAGAAGGAGGAGAAGGAAGCAGCTCAGAGCTGGGGGGGCGGGGTCCCCTGCCCGGCTGGGAAACGAGGCTCAGAGGAAGAACTGGAGCTTTGCGGTAAATGTCTTTCTTCTACGCCAGGGTAACGTTGTCCTGGCATTTTCTCGTAACTGGGATGTCCAATATCCTTTTCTAGG